GGATTGTTTATTTGTTTTTTGTTTTTTTTTTCATGTTTTATGCTTCCTGTTTTAACTATAGGCCTGCTTTCATTAATAATTTAATTGATGATGATTTTAGTTTACATAAATGTGTTTTGTAAATCCTTGATTTAATGACACAACAAACGCATGAAAACATGAAGAATTTATTAATGCCTAATGATTATAGAGTTTGTATGCTAGATTTGTTTATTTAATAAATTGTAGTCTATGGAATTTACGTTCGTATTAATTGTATCAACACTAAAGATATTTTCTGCAATAACATTTTATAGTAATTAAACAATTGAATTCTTTTATATCATGTTAATATGCATACACATGAGATAATTATCAATAAATGTTTTATTGTCATATTCTGAAAAAAGTGCAAAACCTTATTTTAATGTATGGTAAGAAATCTTTAATAAGAAAAATATAGTTTTTAAGGAATAGAATGATTATGTAATTCCATGCATATCTATCTATCTATATATAAAGCAATTCTTTGATAGATATATTTCGTCTCTTATTAAAAAAAGACATTACAAACCAACTGTAACTAAACCTTTAAAAGTAAAATAAAAATTTAAAAATTCATATAAATTTATAGTCCCCCCTATAAAAGTTCTTCTTTCTTAGTTACATATCTGAACAATAGATGGCGATGTATAAAAATTTGAGCCTCACATTTCTTGTAATTGGTGTAATAGGGCCTTCCTACTTTTATTATATAGTCTAAAGGGAGCGTAATGATAAAGCAACCTCACAGAATTTGTATTTGTTTTGTCTTATGAATGACGAATAGAGCTAACTACAAAAAAAAGAACCCTCCCCCAAAAAAAAAATCAAGGAGGCTTTTATCTATATAAGGAATATTCAAGAAATTCCAATACGAAGAAGTGTAAATTTTCTAATTTTGTGATTTAGCATTACACGGTGGACGTCCTGTGCCCTTTCATACACGTATCTTTAACATAAAGCAGGTATCAGATGAATACAGAACTTTATATAAATACGATTGAAAATACTCATCATTATCGTCATCATATATATATATATATATATATATATATAATATATATATATATATATATATATATATATATATATATATATGACGATAATAAAATCATGCATAGTATATGAGATCAATAATACAATAGAAGTTGATAACCAGGTCAGAACGCAGAGGCTCTTCGTATCTTTAAAGATTCTTTTATGACTTCAAGTGGATGTACTGTATGGAATAGATAAGAATACATGGTGTATCTGATATCCAGTTTTAGTGCTTATCGATTCTTTCCTTGTAATCTAATATATGTATATATACATACATACATATGAGTATTTTCAATCGTATATATATATATATTATATATATAATATATATATATATATATATATATATATAGTTCTGTATTCATCTGATATCTGCTTTATGTTAAAGATACGTGTATGAAGGGGACACAGGACGTCCACCGTGTAACACTAAATCATTAGAAAATTTATGCTTCTTCGTATTGGAATTTCTTGTATATTCCATATACAGATAAAAGCCTCCTTATTTTTTTCTTGCTTTTCCTTTTCGGTAGTTAGATCTACTCGTCATTCATAAAACAAAACAAATACAAACTCTGTGAGGTGATTTGACGCCCCGCGGTTGCTTTATCGTTACGCTCCCTACAGGCAGACTATATAATAAAGATAGGAAAGTACGTATGACACCAATTACAAAATTGTGAGGCCCAAAACAGCGCCATCTATTGTTTAGATATGTACCTAAGAAAGAAGAATGTTTGTAGGGGGGACTATAAATTTATGTAGATTTTATTTTTTATTTTTATTTTACTTTTAAATGTTTAGTTACAGTTGAAGTTTGCAATGTTTTTTTTTTCTTAATAAGAGACGAAATATATCTATTAAATAATTACTTCATATATATAGATTTACATGGAATTATATAATCATTCTCTTCTTTAAAAACTTAACATACATTAAAATAAGGTTTTGCACTGTTTTTTCTTCTTCAGAATATGACAATAAAACATTTATTAATAATTATCTCATGTGTATGCATAATAACATAATAATCATAAAGTTATTCCATTGTTTAAATTCTATACAATGTTATTCCAGAAAATATCTCTAATACAATGAATACGAACTTAAATTCCATAGACTCTATAATTCATTAGATAAACAAATCTATTAAATAAACTCTACAATCATTCGGCATTAATATATGCTTCATGTTTTTCATCCATTTTTTGTGTCATTAAATCAAGGATATACAAAACACATTTATGTAAAACATTTCTTTATTTGATTTCAAGGTATCATCAATTAAAGTATTAATGAAAGCAAGACTGCCGTTAAAACAAAAGGAAGCATAAAACATTCAAAAACAAACAAACAACCCCTTACTATTCTGAGTAAGTGACGTTTCATGATAACAAACAGCTACATCGCGTACACAACGCCATCTATTGTTCAGATATTCCACTATCCGCCAACTGTTGGGGCTCACAAACTTTTGCCATGCTTTCCTGTCTTTCGCAGAACCGCAATAATCACCTGTATCTTATGATTTCCTGTTTCTGTCTGATGTCCTACCACTAGTGAAAAATAACACTGGTCAAACGGAATGGGATCATTATTATCTACGTGGTCCTCCATCATTCTTAGGCCCGTACTTTTAAAACCTTTCGCCAGGGCTGGCGAAAGGTTTCGCCGGGCGATCCGGAATTTCGTACTTTTAAAATCATGCCTGGTGAACGTTCGCCAGGGCTGGCGGAAGATCATATTGGAACAGCCTGGCGAAGCAAAGGCGCGAGAGCTGTTTGAATACCATTTTCTTGCTTTCAAATTATAAATTAGTAACATATTTGTGTATGATATGATGTAGGAATCACATTGAAATTCTAAAATATCTTAAAATCTTAATTTATTATGAAATAACGTATATACGTATTTTTTTCAAGACCTTCGATGTTCCAGTCGAGAGCTCAAGACATCAGCTGTATTCCTACCCCCCAACCCCGAGATGACTTATTTAGATTTAGGTTGTTGTTATTTTGATTGTAAGGATAATGTTCTTTTCACAAATGTTACCAGAAGTGTTTTTTATGGCGGCATGTTACTTTTGGCTATAGGAACATACTGTCCACTGCCCGCCACCCTATAATGAGGCGTGTCTAATGATACCCTTGTAGGCCTATAGTTCAATATCTTATATCAGTTAGGAATAGTAAAATAGTAATTTTTAAACTCTTGTTAAAGTATAAAGTTATTTTTTGTATAAAAGTATAAGGTTGATATAGTATAGTATAAAGTACTTTTAAAACCTTTCGCCAATGCTGGCGTTCGCCTGGCGAAGCTTCGCCAGGCGAACATCTGAGTGAGGGAGGCCTTACTTTTAAACTAAGGCAGGTGTTCGCCAGGCCTGGCGAACGAAAGGGATCGCCAGGCGCTAACATCTTGGATTCCTGCTAAATCTAGCGCTTCGGCGAATGAAAAAAAACGCGAGAAAAAGCAAAAGGTTTTAAAAGTACGGGCCATAAAGTTAACCTTGTTATAGTATAAAGTGTAGTATAGCATAAAGTATAAAGTTAATTTTGTTATAGTATAAAGATATTTTCAACTTCTTTGTTATAGCATAAAGTTAAATTTTAACTCCTTTGTTATAGTATAAAGTGAGACTATTGCGGAAACAACATTTTCGTCTTCTCTCGAGGTTAATAATTAAGTTTAGGTTATGTTATGTGCACTGCAGATGTAAACAAATTTGCGCTAGATTTAGCGGGAATGCAAGATGTTAGCGCCTGGCGAACGTTGGGTTTAAAAGTAAGGCCTCCCTCACTCAGAGGTTCGCCTGGCGAAGCTTCGCCAGGCGAACGCCAGCACTGGCGAAGGTTTTAAAAGTACGGGTCTTAGGCTGAAAAAAGGAGAGTAGGTTCTCAAAAACAACATTTTTTAGAGATTTTTATTTCTCTGTGTATATGAAATGGATATGGTACATTTACATTTTACTGAATCTCAATGAGAAAATAGCTTTCATAATCATACTTTTGTGTACACACACATATATATACATATATATAATATGTATATATGTATATATATATATGATATATATATATATATATATATAATATATATATATATATATTATATATATATTATATATATATATATATATGATATATGTACATACATACACACACACACACACACACACACACACACACACACACACACACACACACAGTGACACACACACACATATATATATATAATATATATATATATATAATATATATATATATATACATTCATATATATGTGTGTGTGTGTGTGTGTGTGTGTGTGTGTGTGTGTGTGTGTGTGTGTGTGTGTGTGTGTGTGTGTGTGTGTGTGTTTATATATATATATATATATATATATTATATATATATATATATATATATATATATAACATACATACATACATACACACACACGTGTGTATGTATATATATATAATATATATATATATATATATATAAATATACATAAACACACACACACACACACACACACACACATATATATGAATTAGCTCTGGGGATGAGTGTGTGTGTGTGTTTGATATATGTCTGCATGTACGAATGCACGTACGCACAGTATGCATGTATATATATATGATATATGTATGCATGTATGTATGTACATGTAAATGTATGTGTATGTATATGTATATGTTTATGTATATGTATATATATTTGTATGTATATGTATTTGTTTATATATATATGTATATATGTTTGTATGTATGTATGATGTATGTATGCATGTGACTATGTATGTATATATGTATACGTAAATGTATGTATGTATATATGTATATGTAAATGTATGTGTATATATATGTATATGTATTTGTATATGTTTATGTGCATGTATATATTTGTATGTATATGCATTTGTTTATGTTTATATATGTATATATATTTGTATGTATGTATGTGTGTGAATATACGTATACACGTATACATACATGTACGGAGGAGCTGACAGGTACGATAACAAAGCTATTCTTTGACAGCGAGTATTAACTGATGACTGCAGCCTTTCTGACATTTCTATGCATGACATTCCGGGTGATCCATCAACCTGGAAATAAATGACAAGTTAATAATGATATACTGTACCTAAATCACAATATCGCATAACCTGAACTACTGTACAAAATACTTAGGTATAAAAAAGTCTAATATTCACACAGCCAGCTACTCCTCCTTAGAGCCAACCTCAGCCTCTTTGTCCACCGCAAACTTTTCTAAAACAAATCAAAGTTTTCTACCACAAGGCCTGACGCAGCGGCCCCGCGACTCACCCCGGGCGGTTGGCGAAGACGAAGGAGCGCCCGGAAGGCCCTTTGTCGAGGCTCCTGAGGGCGGCCATCTCGGTGTCGGTCAGGGAGAAGTTCCAGACCTGGTGGAGAAATTATTTCAGGTAAAGGTTACGTAATAATACAACGAAGTAAATCATTTCTGAAAGACACATGCTCCACAGGTTCCTATAAACATATTGAAAAAGTGCAATAAAGAAATACACCACAAATACCTTGTGGACGAGTTTACAAGTATCATTAGATGAGGTTACATTTAAATTATGAGGGATATATACAGCGATATATGTTTGTAGATGTATATGAGATGAGTAATAGAGGATATATGTAGTAATCTATGTTTGGGGGTGTATTAACGTGCATACATAGATGTTGCAGTGAAAATGCATGCCACTGTACCACACCGATCGCAGTTGCATGCACGACAGGCTTATATTTCTAACACCAGACTATGATGAGCCTGCGACCACTGGCCCCTTGACTCACGTCGAAGTTGGCGGCGATGCGCGAGGGCGTGACGGACTTGGGGATGGCGATGAGGCCCTGCTGGACCAGGAAGCGGAGGAGGACCTGCGCCGCCGTCACGCCCTGCCGCTCCGCCACCAGCCGCACCACGGGGTCCTCCAGCAACTCCGGTATATGGCTGAAGGAGAAGAGAGGAAAACGGACCAAGATGAATAACAGTTCATAAAAGAGTCGCTTTCGTTTGATTGTTTTCTCTTCTTCGTGGCCTTCCATCTACACTGCAGCTGGACAAAAAAAAAAAAAAAAAAAAAAAAAAAAAAAAAAAAAAAAAAAAAAATCAGCATAGTCTTAGAAAATTCCTTCCTTTTCAACTTTCTACACAGACTACTGCCTTCCAGCGAGCCAATGGATAAGACTCACCCGCCGCTCAGCGTAGGAACGCCCTTCCGGCCGGGGGAGCCCAGGGGGGCGTAGGCGGTGATGGCGATGTTGTGGCTCTTGCAGAACTCCTGCATGTCTGGCTGCTGGAAGTAAGCGTGCAGCTCAACCTGTAGGAGGACAAATTTATATAGATTTACGTAGGTGGATACATCAATTGGCATATGAGGAAATAAATGCTGATATAATTCCAGGTACATATCTCATACATACAGGGAGGTACATATCTAAACAAACATGGCATGACAACATGTACTGATATATATAGACGGTAGTATCCATAAGAACCAATGGATCTTCTACCTAACCGAACATTTCCAAACATACACATCCAATATATAAAAAGTCAAAGACACAAACAGCTATTTAAAAGAACAGACGATGACATAAATCCAGAGACAGAAGCCACAAAATAATAGAATGCTAAATAGATTCCCTGCAGCACTCGCCACCTTGTCTGCGGGGCCTCCTCACCTGCTGGACGGAGGGCGGGACCTTATGCATACATACACATACACATACTTACATATACACACACACTTCCATACATGACATATCCTTCCATTCCCTCCCTGCTCGCGCTCTCCTCACCTGCTGGACGGAGGGCGGGACCTTGGCGACGGCGCAGATCTTCCTCAGCTGCTTGACGGAGAAGTTGGAGACCCCGATGGACCTCGCCAGCCCCAGCGTCTTCATCTTCTCCATTTCCTTGAAGGAGGAGTGCGACTTATTTATAAATACTTGGCCGCATGTACTGAGTACATCATGCATTCACAAACATATATAGACAGATAGATAGATGAATAGATAGATCAATGCATACATACATGCATATATGTATATGTATATATATATATATATATATATATTATATAATATATATATATATATATATATATTATATTATATGTGTGTGTGTGTGTGTGTGTGTTGTGTGTGTTGTGTGTGTGTGTGTGTGTGTGCGTGTGTGTGTACATGAAATATAGGATTCTCTAACATGTTTCCTTTAAAAGATAAAGCAAAGAAAGTTAAACAAGCGGAAGCGAAGAGACGCACCTTCCACACGGCGATGTGGTCTGTCCCGAAATCCACGTTCAGTTTCCCGTCGACCATCGGGAAGATATCGTTGTCGTCTTTGCCCTGAAGAGGATCATTTTTCGTTCCGTTTATTTCACTTTAGAATTTCTTATTCTCTTATTTTTGGT